GACCAGTGTGTGTGTGTGGGGGGGAGACAGGGGTCTTGGGTGTGTGTGTGTGTGTGTGTGTGTGTGTGTGTGTGTGTGTGTTGGGGGGAACACAGGGGTCTGATTCACCTGCACTGCCTTTCCTGCCTGGGTTTCGGGTTGGCTGGGATGGGACCCTCGCTCCCCTCCGTTTGCCAAGGACTTTCCCTGGCTGCTGAGTGGCTCCATGGTTCGTTGGTTGTATTGTTTGAGGGTCACCCGGGCTCTGGCCCGTCGCACCTCCATGGTGGACGGCAGCCTGATCCTGCCCTGGGCCCCTGAGGACCCGCGCTGAGGGAGACACAGGACGCCTGGCCTGGCAGCATCCTGGTGCCGCGGTCACTGTCCCGTCCTGGCGCCTCACTTCTCAGCAGCCAGAGCAGGGGGCTGGGACCCTCGTAGGCCTCGCTGGGTGGGGGTCTCCGGCAGAGTGTGGTGTTGGCAGGTCACCTGCATGTCTGTGTTCCCAGAGAAGGAAGACTGGCCACACATGGTGCGCAGAGCCCCGTGCCCTCATCAGCGCCCACTCTGTCCACAGTGCCCTGTGCTTGGCTCGGCTCAGCTGTGGGTTCCCATCTGTCTCTGGAACCCCGCCCCCCAGCCCCTGGCCTGCTGCTCCCCTGGTTCCCTGTTGCCTCCACCTCCTACTTATCGGCTCCTGGAACTGACCCGAGCTGTTTCCCCGCAGGAGATGGACAGTCGAGAGAGAGCAGCCCCAATGGCGACATGGAGCGAGAGAGTTTCTTTGAAGGAAAGAACATGGCACTTTTTGAGGTAAGTTACACTTTCTCCTGCAAAAAGCAGGGGTCAGTATAGTAGCTGTAGCTTGGATAAGTAAAGAGGTCGTGTCTAAGAGTGGACTAAGGAGCTGGGCTGCCTGACGGACACCGTGTTGGGGGGAGCTGGTGGCCGCGCGTCCCACAGCCCTTACACTATGTGCCCCCTTGGCCAACACCTCCCTGTGAGGGCCTTAGAGAGGCTGAATCCTGGGCCATCTCGGAAACCCTGATCTCCCTTGCTGGTGGGTGCCCTGTTCAACGTGTCCTGGAGCCTGACCTCTGGCCCCTGACCCCTGATTTCAGACCCGTTGTGACCGGGGCTGGCTGGCGCATTTTAGATTGGTGGGCTTCAGGACCAGGGGCGGAGCTGGGCTCCAGATGGCCCTGGAAATAGGCTCCCTGGAGTGTCCACACGGCAGGATCACTGCTGTGGTTGACCTGGTCGGTTTGGGAGTGTTTGATGTTGGGATCTGGGTGACGTATTTCATATCTTGGTTCCAAACAGGAGGAAATGGACAGTAACCCCATGGTGTCCTCGCTCCTCAACAAGCTGGCCAACTACACCAACCTGAGCCAAGGCGTGGTGGAGCACGAGGAGGCCGAGGACAGCCGGAGGCGCGAGGTCAAGGTACCAGCCCCTGTGCCCCCCGACCTCCCAGGACCCCTCAGGGCCTCCTCTCCTCCCCTTGGTTTTTCAGTGATGGGACAGTTGGTCTCTTACCGTTTTCCTAGGAATTTTATTTCTTAGGGAATATTCCTAGGAATCTATCCTAAAAAATAAGCAGAGCTGCCGCCATGAGGACTCGTGCAGAAAGAGGTTCTTGGGGAGAATGTAAGGTCCACTTGGGAACCACGCAGACACCCCTTGGGGGCTGGTGGGCTGTGCGTGGCTCCAGGACAGAACAGCCAAACGCAGTTCTCACTGCTTAGGACGATGTTCACTAGTATATGGGTGCAGATGAGGCCACAATTGAGGGTCTTTCTGTGGGAGAATGACGAATGATTACTCGTTTCTTCTCACTTCCCTTACTTTTTAAATTCTCTTGCAATAAGTATGTGTTACTTTAAAATCAAAGATGCAAACTAAAAATTAGAAATAGTGTAACCACCAGAGGCGTCCCCGCAGTGCAGGCTGCAGCTTCCAGCGGTCTTGACTAGCCATCTCTCTTCCTGCCTTCAAACTAACAGAAAGGGCGTTTCCCAAGTCTTGGCAATAGTTCCCTTCTGTTCACTTTTCCTGTAGGTGGATCGCACAAGGGTGGAAATTGGCTTTTCTCTATTTTAAATGGTGATTCTCCCCCCCCTCCCCCAACCCCTATTGGCTCTGAGAATACTATGGGAAGGACGCTGAGTCCTGAAGGGAGGGGCTTGTGAATGGCCCAGTGCCCTGTCGAACAGGACAGAAGGCTGTCTGGCACTTTCTGCAGTGTTCTGCCGGCTGGGTGACCCCACAGTGCTGAGCTGGGACAGAGTGGGAGCGGGCTCAGCGGCTGCCTTTCTGCCCATCTCTTCCCCACCCGGTGTCCACCTGCCCATTGGGCCAGTGCTGGGGCGGAGGTGCCGGGAGCCAGTGTCCACACGGCCTCGCTCACTCCCCCTCCAAGTGCCTCTCTGTGCCTGTGTCTGGCCTGACCTTGGTCCCCTTGGGCCCCAAGCCAAGGCCTCTTCCCTCTGCCCTCGGACTGTAAACCCAGCAGGATTAACTCGCGTTTCCTGACACTCAGGGCATTGGCTCCTTGTGTCCCAGAAGAGCTGCTTGTTCAGGATGCAAGGAGTAGACGGGGAGCATGGGACATGAGGCGTGGCCTGTGTGTCCAGCCCTGCTGACCTTCCTCGGCGGAGGGCAGTGGCCTCGGCAGCAGAGGTGTGTCTGGATGCACCTTTCCTGGTCCTCCTGCCGTGATTTTCCTGGCTCCTTGGGAGCCTGTGGCCACCTTGGCTGTTCATGGAGCCACCCCCCTCCCCCAAGGCAAGGGACAGGGAACGCCGACCCCAGGTGATGCTATGTGGAAGGTTATAGCTTCGCCTGAATGCCCTGGGCACTGCCTGTGGCTCCACTGCAGGAGCCCGGCTGTCCGAGTACACGGCACACGTCTGTCTGTCTGCTGGAGCTGGTGTTTCAGGGAGCTGTCTGTCTGCTCGGGGAAACATGCTCTCCGCAGAGACCTGGGTCTGAATGTTGCTGTAACCGACCCTCAGTCTCAGCTGGGCACCAGCTGGGCCTCCGCCTGCGCTGCAGCTCCTTTTAGGCCGCGTGGTGCAGCCTTGGGTCGCAGATGTCCTCCTGGCACAGACAGAGTGCAGCCAGACCCCTTGTTAAGGTTTTATTGAGATGTGATCTCATGTTCAGCCTGGTGAATCTGAATAAGTCCGTGGTATGCACCCACTGCCAGGTTGGGATCTAGAACAGGATTTGGTTTCAGTCACAGGAGGGACGGCCACCCCGTGACCCTCAGCAGGACTGTGTAGCCAGGTGGGCAGGTTTCAGTTGGGATGAATCTAGTCGCCCTGCTTAGGACTGAGTGTAGGTAGGTCCCCTGGGAAGGGAGGTGGGGGCTGCCCCTTATTGTCCCTCTGACCAACCTGACATAGGAGCTTGTTCCCAGAGATGGGTGTGTGTTCCCCCAAGGCTTCCTCTCCAGGGCCTCGGAGCCAGTTGGGTGATCCTTCAAAGCTGCCTTTTATGAGAGAACTGAAGGCCGCTGTGCCCTTCCAGGGTGACTCAGTACCATGTCAGCCGCTGGGCACAGAACTGGCTCCGGGCAGGCGGGGCCCACATGAGGCCTGGAGTCCAGCTGCTCTGGCTGCAGGGTTTGCTTAGCCTCCTGTGGTGGTTTATTGATCTCTTCATATGTTCACTGAGATTATAAAATAGAAGCTGGCAGTTTGTCCAGGGTGGTTGTCACTGCATTTCCATTCTCATTTTTATACAGTTGAGATACGCCCACCCTGTGTGTAAGACACGTAAATCCTTTTATTTACACAAAAAGCACAGTTATCCCGTGGGTGGGCGGCTTGGGAGGGGTGCGCTGGCCAGGAGCTGGAGCTCAGGCCAGATGTTCAAGGAGTCAGGACGGGCTTTCAGACCCTGGCCCCCACTCCCCGGCTGCTCTCAGCTCATTCTCCCCAGGGCCCTAGCATCTGGGAGCTCTGTGGGCGGCCTGCACTTAGTGGCAGGTGTTCCTGTCTGTCGGCAGCTCCATTTTCACCCGAGGAGCCCATCTGCTTCCTTGAATGGGGGTTCAGCCCCTTCTCCTCAGGCGTTTGCCCTCCAGCCACCTCCCTGGGGCTGGGCTGTGTCCCTGGGCGGCAGCCCCTCTCTGAGCTGCCACAAGAGCTGGGCTGTGTCCTTGTTTCCCACCAGCCTTATCACTCACAGGAAAGCTGCTCAGGTGTATGCTGGTTTTCTTTTTAATTCAGGATATTTTCTCCATGAAACAGCAGTTTGTCTTTGCACCCACATGTCCCGAGATCACAGATGTGTTGCCTGACTGTGTGGTCACACTGGCTGTCATCCCAGGTCACAGACCAGGAGGGCCTTATCTGTCCTCTGTGGTGTGTGTGTGTGGCCGACTGGCAGGCTCCTGGCCATGTCGCCACCCTGTTCTCTGGGCCAGTCTGCTCATCCCATAGTCTTTCCGGGATCAGAGCAGACGTTTCTGCCAGGCGCCTCCCAGCACCGTCCGTGCCGCAGCTACCTGTGTCCCTGCCCTATTTCTGTATCTGCGGTTGTGGGCGTGGGGGAAAGAGGGTGCCCAGGTGGCCAGTTCTCTGAGCTGGTTTGATGGTGCCCCGATCTCTTCCTCCATGTGGGTTGAGTCATTGCTGATACCTGCCTGGAGTTGGTGTCCTTGCTCCTTCTCTGGTTTTAGGGAGCAGTACCGTCTCATCCTCCGTGGCCCTCACTTCTCCTCATATTGTGGTCTCCTGAGGGTCTGGAACCCAGAGCTGCGGTCGTGATGCACAGAGCCTGGAGCCTCTTGCTCCCATCTTTTCCCAAACTTTCCCACCGTCCTGTCATTCCGCTCACAGAGGAGGGAGGCCCAGCCGGCTGCTCCCCGCTCAGCTGCCTGGCGATGATGTGGCTCTGGTCTCTTTCAGAAGACCACCCTGCTCCCAGGCAGCCAGGGTCCTGCTCTGGAATCTCCTGGAGCTTCCATTCATTCTGGGGTGTGGTTCCCCTCAGCCATCTTGTCCCATGTCCCCCCAGCCATCAGTGCTCCCATGTCCGGGCAGCTGAAGCTTCCGCCCTCACCGGTTCCTTTTCTTGTGTTCCTGGGACCTCTCTGGGCCCGAGGGTGTAGCCAGGGCTCCCAGAGGAGGGGTCCCCGGGGAAGGTGCTGAGGTTGGCCCCCCGGAACCACTGTTCTCTCTCTCAGAACCCAGGCATGGGCACCTTCATCGGCGTCTACCTGCCCTGCCTGCAGAACATCCTCGGCGTGATCCTCTTCCTGCGCCTGACGTGGATTGTGGGCGTGGCCGGCGTCCTGGAGTCCTTCCTCATCGTGTTCATGTGCTGCACCTGCGTGAGTGGCCGAGGCTGTTCCTGGGTTTGGGGCAGTGGCCGCTGGACTCCAGGGACCTGACCATGTGGACAAATGTGGGCTCTCCCCGGTCCACTGCTCTCTCTCCGAGGTTGACTGCATGGATTCTGTCCCTGGGCAGCCTCCTCACCAGTGCTGGTGTGATCACTGTGTGTGGCCTGGGGGCTGTGACCAGGCTGTCCAACAGCCCCAGGGAGTCTTACGTAGTTGCTCCTGCAGAAATACAGGGGCAACGCAGCAACCGAGGGTTTTCGCCAGGCACTGTCACCACGCACGAGAGTCCTGCCCTTCGACCTGGTCCCCTTCCAGTTGGACCATCTGCACATTTTCAGGGATCCCGTTTATAGGAAGGGACACGTGCTGGTAACTTGCTGAGCCCCGACCCCAGCATGTGAGGCCTGCCACTTGGCCTCCACACCTGTGTCCCTGTCCGTTAGGGACACAGTCTCTTCTTGCCACCGATAGTTGCATCTGCTTTAATCTCTGGATGCTCCTCAGTGCCTCCTCCCGGCCCTGAGTTTTCCTGCTTCCTTTATTGTTAAGAGGGTGATTAAGCTGTGGTGTTACCCCGTGTCACCTGGAGACGGCTGTCTAAAGAATTCAAACCATGCAGATGAGTGGGCGTCCACAGGCCCCTCTCAGGCCACTTTCCCTGCTGCCCTGGGCTTCCCAGAGCTGTGGTGTGGTCACCCAGCCTCACTGCATTCTCCCTGGGTCACAGCATGTTCTTTACGTTCAAGAGTCGGAAAGTCTGGAGTGCTGCTAGGCACACACAGGAAAGGATACCAAGCAGGAGAGTGGGGTGGGGCCTTGCTCAGGTGGCAGACACGGCCCAGCAGGAACCCGGGCACTGTGGTCACCGGGGCCTTCACTTCCCAGGCTGTTCCTTCTGGTCCTTAGGTTCTAAAATAGTTACTCCCCAACCCATGGGTGTGGCTGCTTCCTGAGAAGATGGGCACCTTGTACCCCATTGTACCCCTTGGGACGTGGGCACCCAGGGAGAAGCTGCCCTTCAGTGCTGGACGGGGTCCTGAGTCGAGTGCTTTCTGGGCAGCCTGTGGGAGCTCAGTTTTGGGAGTTCAGTGGGAGAGAACGTGGGGCTGGGGCTGCAGTTCTGTCTGAAACTCTGCCTGCTGGTTACTCGGCAGCCGGAGCTGGGCCTGCTGGGCTCTGGCCCAGGCCTGCTGCTGGGCGGCCCTCAGAAGTGCTCTTCTAAAAGGGTCACCTGTCTTTCTGCAGACGATGCTCACCGCCATCTCCATGAGTGCGATTGCCACCAATGGCGTGGTCCCAGGTAAGGGGGTGCTGGAGGCTGGGTGGTCTGAAACGAAGCCTTCCTTTTGTGAGCAGGAACTGAGCTGAGCCCTGCCTGGGCTCCGTGCATGCTCCACTTTCATTTTAGCGATGACCTTGACATTAGCCCTTCACCCAAGGCTGAAGGTGAGGCAGGAAGTGGGGCCCGGTCCCCAAAGGCCTAGTGTGGACATGCCCTTACCACCTGGAGGTTGCTGCCGGTCATTCATGTCTGAGCACAGAGATCTCCCTGTGTAGAGGGGTCGGGTGGGTGGGAGGGGCGCGTCCTCAGCCTGGCCAGGCCCTTCCAGAGGCTCTGTCGGCGTGACCTGGCCTTTGGGCAGTGATGCTCACCCAGCTCTTGCCTCTCACCTGCACGGGGACTCTCCAGGGCTAGCGCCCCTGGTGTCCCGGGGCCTCTTCCCCTGCCTCCCCTGAGGGCATGGGCATTGCTAAGACCAGGGTAGGGGCCTGTTATACGAGTGCTTGAGGCTGCTGTGCCATTGAGATTCTCCTCAGAGCGGGAACCATCAATACCCCCAAGATTTTTTCTTCTCAAACATGCCTTTGCTGTCTGGACAAGAGGCTGGCATTTATGACCAGCTGTATCCCTTTTGAAGTTTAATCCCCACAAACGATCATTCTCTTTTTAAACCAACAAAACTAACGTGCCACAGGCTTCATTTGTTGCCTCTGAAGCTGTCTGATGAAGGGTAGGAAGAAGGGAGGGGCTGCCTGGGTGATGGGGGCTGGGGGCGGGAAGGCGGGGCTCTAGACTGCAGGGTTCACTGGTGTTTGAGCCCTGAAATCATGGCTGTTTGTTTCCCCCCCGCTTTGCAGCGTAGCTCCCATCCTTAGGAGGCAGTGCCCACAGGGCAGTGAGCTCAGCAGAGAAGGGGAGGCAGGGGGGCCAGTGCTGCGCCCAGTTTGTACCTGAGGTCGTGTTGCTCTCAGAAGCAAAGGTGCAGGCACAGATGCCTCTAGTTTATTTGGCGCCTGGATTCAAGGAACTGAAACGATGCCACCTTGTGCCCCTGCAGCTCGTGCAGCCTGTGTCTATAAGTGAGGTCCAGCATGTTTTGCACCCCAAGTCCTTGAATAGTGGCCCCTCCCCCAGAACTTCCCAGGCTTCACAAGGAGCAGCAGCTGTGTAGAGGCCGTAATCCCGCTGGCCATCCTCCTGCTGGCCGTCCCCCCCTGGCCATGGAGCATGAGTCCCGATGGGCTTACCGGCTAGGCATGGGGACCAATCTCCCTTCGCTTGACATCCAGCTGGGAGGAGGCACCAGCATTCAGTGCTGAGAAGGAGGTGTGACCCGCTCACGTGGAGAGATGATTCTAGTGGCAGATCGGCATTTAGGTTTGCTTTTCAGAGAGAAGGGCATGCCCTGAAGGGTCCTTCAGGCTCTCCAGAGTCACCCATGGTCTCCCGGTCGTGTCTGGGGGGGAACTCGCTGTCCGGCGGAATGGCCAGGGACCGATCTGTGGGGCATGGGTTTCAGCTGCATGCTGGAAGTGATACAGAAGTGAAGCTTAAGCAGCCCTGGGTTCTCAGGCCTTTTGGGGCAGAAGCTAAGAGGATGGAAGTGTTGGTTTTACATCAAAATGTGCAGACTTACGGGCTCTGCCCCCTGCTTTTGGCTGATTTCCCCCAGGACCTGTTTGGTCACAACTGCCAGAGCCGCTGTCTGTTCTGTGAAGTCCACATTCACGGTACCCGGTGGGTCCTTAACCCCATTTCCTGTTTGGTGTTTTTTGCAGCTGGTGGCTCGTACTACATGATATCGCGGGCCCTGGGGCCAGAGTTTGGGGGAGCCGTGGGCCTCTGCTTCTATCTGGGCACGACCTTTGCAGGGGCCATGTATATTTTGGGGACCATTGAGATTTTTCTGGTAAGTGCTTTGTTTGAGGCTGGTTCCCCTTGCCTGGCACCGACCCCAAGGGCAGAGCTTCTGGCAGGCCTTTCTTCTCAGCTTTTGTTCCTTATGTACCCGAGGGTCCCTTGTAGATGCATCCTGGTGGTGTGGGGGCCCTTGGGGAAGGAGGGGGCCAGAGCTAAGCCCCCCCAGAGAAGGGCCCTTCAGAAGGTCGTGCCTGGCCCCGTCCCTCTCCCCATGTGGCCATCTTCTAGGCAGGGATGGATAGGCTGCCTTTCCTGACCTGCCTTATCCCCACAGACCTACATCTCCCCTGGCGCATCCATCATCCACGCCCAGTCGCCGGACGGCGAGGCTGTGGCCATGCTGCACAACATGCGAGTGTATGGGACGTGCACCCTGGCCCTCATGGCCATGGTGGTCTTTGTGGGCGTCAAGTACGTCAACAAACTGGCCCTGGTGTTCCTGGCCTGTGTGGTGCTGTCCATCCTTGCCATCTACGCCGGCGTCATCAAGACCGCCTTCGACCCGCCGGACATCCCGTGAGTCCCAGTCTTCTGTCCGGGGTCCTTGTCCTCGGTCCTTGCTTGGGCTAGGCCTGTAAGGATGCAGTGTTTCCTGGTTTGTAATTGGTTTGTAATTCATGGCATGACGGCGGGGCCCCGGGGTGGTGGTGCTGTCTGTCTGGCAGTCTTACCTTCTTCCCCTGGCATCGGGGATGAGCAGTCGGGCTGCTTTTGTAGCAGCTACCTGCAAGACCAGGATGGGAGGTTTGGCGAAGGACCAAGGGCGTATAGGTTGGCCGGCGTCCCTGAGGACAGCAGGCAAACTGATCTCCTCCTGGCTGTGGCCTGCTCCCCTAGTCCTCATGAAAACCCTCAAGTGGGTTCTTCCCTTGTCCCCCTTTTGAATGAGGACACTAAGTCACAAGGAAGTGGCCCTAGATCACAGAGCGAGTGAGTGAGCTGGTGCTCAGGCAGCAGGTTGCCCACTGCCTGGGTGGTGGGGGCTGGGAGGGGGCTGGTACCAACCCTCTCCTGGCCCCTGCACTTTGCTGTCTCCATGTGGAGGGAGCCACCTGGGTGGGAATAGTCCCATTCACTCCAGGACAGACCGCCCCTCAGCCCCACGCTGCGTGAGAACTGGACTCCTGCTTAAACACTGATTTCCAGCAGCTCATGCCAATGTTCTCATCATGCTAAACGGGGAGTGTCAGCAGCTACTAGCAGGGCCCCCCGCAAACCTCCACCGTCACTGAAGAAAGTGGTGGGAGTCATTTCAGGCCCCGCACGACCCCTCACGCCCCCACTCCCGCTCCAGGGTTTGTCTGCTCGGGAACCGCACGTTATCGAGGCGCAACTTTGACATCTGTGCCAAAGTCCTCACCACCAACAACGGCACGGTGACCACCGCGCTCTGGGGCCTCTTCTGCAACAACTCCATGCCCAGCGCCATCTGCGACGAGTACTTTGCCCAGAACAACCTCACGGAGATTCAGGGGATCCCCGGCGTGGCCAGCGGCGTCTTCCTGGGTGAGTGCCCCGTGGATCTCGGTGGGGCTGAGTTGTCCAAAGCCCAGTCCCTGGGAGCCGGTGCTGCTGCCCGGTCCCTGGTTGTGCCACCCCTTCCTCGATGCTGATCTGCCAGGGCCATAGATGCAGCCGCTTGTGGAGGCCAACAGGTCAGGGACTCCAAGTGGGTCCTTTTGCTTTAGGATTTCATAGCAGCTCTGTTAATAAGGGCAGTAATTAACCGGTGGGGACTGGTTTTTCCTGTCTCCGAGTTCCTCTGTGATGAGAAATTGGGCTGCCCCCCTCTCCCCCATACCAGGAGAGAGGCCTGACTTTTTATGGGAGAGGAAGTGGAATAATCCTGAGGCCGTGATCACTGGGTCCCTAGCTGTCCGCCCCGAGGAAGATGGGTATCAGGGGTCCCTCTGAGGCTGTGATGACAGTGGGTGTTGGGGGGAGGCGGGGGCTGTACTGCGTTGAGATGGGTCAGGGCTGCACACGCCCACACATCCCTCAGCCTGGGATCCTGATGCTCAGAGGCCCCTGGCTAGTGGCCCAGACCCGAATTCTGGGTTCCGGCAGAGCAAGATCCTTGGAGGGGCAGCCGTCACAGGTCACACAGGAGGGTAGGGGTGGAGCAGGGACCTGTGGAAGGTGCGAGTGAGGCATAGAGACCTACGGGGTTGGGTGTCTCTGTGGGAGGACAGGATCCATGTCGGGAGAGGGGTCCCTAAGGGGATGGGCTCTGCAACAGGGACCCTTCAGGGGGTTTTGGAGGAAAAGGGGGTCTGTTTGGAGAGGGGTCCTACAGGCTATAGCCCAGCCAGCTGGGATCTGCTCAGGGTGCATTTGCACAGGTAGGAGGTGGGCCCAAGGTGACACCTTAATTGTGTGTGGGGCTAGGGCCATCACTGCCCCTGAGGGGTCCTTCATCAGTGAGGCGACCTGTGTGAGGGGATTGCTGTCCGACCCTCCACTTGGAGACCTCCCCCCAGAGCCCAAGACAGTGTGTCAGGGACACACTTGTTCAAGTGAAATCTTCTGCAAATGTGACTGTGGGACCGGAATCGTTCATTCAGTGATTAGTGAACAGCCCTCAGAGCTCCGGTTCTGAGTTTGATGCCTCATGTGAAGTTTGAACATGCCAGTCGCATCTGCTGGGCCTCCCGACGGTGGGAGCCCTGGTGGGAGGTTCCAAAGTCCTGTGACCCGTCCTTTCCCCCCACAGATAACCTGTGGAGTGTGTACACGGACAAAGGCATGTTTGTGGAGAAGCAGGGCACGCCCTCCGTAGCGGTGCCAGAGGAGAGCAGAAGCAGCAAGCTGCCCTACGTGTTCACCGACATCATGACCTATTTCACCATGCTGGTCGGCATCTACTTTCCCTCCGTGACCGGTGAGGCCACGGGCACTCCAGCGGGCCAGGCCGGCTCTTCCCTCAGCTCTAATGTAGCCAACCCCGTCCCCCCGCCCCGTTTTCTTTCCTGTTTGGCTCAAGAGAGGAGTTGCAGTCTGCTCCCCGTCTGTTCTGAGTGGGGAGCGCAGGAAGCGTGTGGTTTCAGGCAGCTTTGTCCCGCGCGCTCCTGAGCGGCCATTGTTAGAAGTAACTGTGACTGTGGCATGGCCTTGCTGAGACATCCGGTGCACGATTAGGTGGCGCCTAGGAATGAGCACGGAGAGCTGTTAGTGGCCAGTACTGCAGCCATCCTGGTCCTTACAAGAGCCAGCTGGCCTCTGGGGGGGCCCTCAGTGTGTGAACATCCCTCATCTTGGTGACAGACATGTACATATGCACATGTATGTGTGCATACACACACTGCTCCTGGAGACCACCTCCCACCAGAACACCCCCATCCTGACCCCCACAGAGCAGATGCCTGACACACCTGTAGCTGTGGTGTGTCTGTCCCTCTGGTTCCTGTCCAGGTTGGCTCCTGGCCCCCACTGCAAGCCTGTCCACTCTCTGGGAGGCTGGCCTGCCAGGGGCCGCTCCCCTGCCCCTCTGTACTCATCTCCGCTCGGACTAACCGTGGGGTTTATAGGTAGTAGGGGTGCTTCTTTTTAGTCTCCCCTTAAAGGTGGGATTATGGACTCACTTTGGTGAGTGAGTGGGGTGTGGATCTGGCCCCTGGAGGTCTTTGTCCTGTACCCCTCCCCCTTTCCCCCCCCGCAATCTGTCAGTATAGGATGGACGTGTTCTGGGATGGCAGCAGATCTGGTGGGTGGAGAGCGTGGGAACAGCCTCTGTGGGTGTCGGTGTTTCCAGAGCCTGGTGGCACCTGTCTGTGGGCTCTGCACCAGCCACCCACCCAGCGCTGCCTCTCTAAGCTCGTTGTCACTTCAGGTCACTCCTAGAATACGCTCATGAGGCGCTCAACAAACCTGCCAGTGGTTGGCATTTCTTTGAGCCCAGTTGGAGCCATTTTACTCTATGTGCCAAATGGAGTGAGCGAGCCTCAAGGGCGTAGGCAGTGACACACCCATGTGCAGAGTAGCAGGACAACCCCGAGTGGAGTCAATGTGAGGAGGCCTCGAGTTAACTGTAGGGTCACCTTATAATGCTTGATTCAGATCTGGCTCCGTGAGCATTTAGCATCATTGTCCCGGGAGTTTCTGACCCCAGCCACCTGGATTAACCCAGTCTTAGCGGGAAGTGAGGTTGGAGCCAGGTGCACCCAGAGGCTGCCTCTGGCTTTGGTGTCAACGGCAAGTGTCTGGGTTGAGCCTTGCCCTGGTCTTGACTATGACTTGGTTCATGGTGGGACTCGCTGTCCCTGTGGAAAGTGTGGGGGACACTTGGAGCCTTTTCCTAGGTGCCCACAGCAGCTGTCCCACATCCACACAGTGATGTCTGGGCTGTGCTCTTGGAGGCCTCGCCTGGGGACAGTGGCCCCACGCCGGGGTGGTCTTCAGCTCACGTCTCTGCAGCTGAGGCCCCGGCTGCGTCATCCTGAAGCTCTGCCTGCCTGTCTGTCTCTGCAGGCATCATGGCAGGCTCGAACCGATCGGGGGACCTCAGGGACGCCCAGAAGTCGATCCCCACAGGGACCATCATGGCCATTGTGACCACATCTTTCATTTGTATCCTTAAAGGGGTAAAGGTGGGGGGCGCAGGTGCTGTCTGTCACGACCTCCACAGCTCGCTGCTGTGCCATCCGCAGCTTGGGTGAGCTGCTCTGGCTTAGGCGAGTTCTGTAGAGAGGGGCCTCAGAGAGGGGCCGATATGACGCGAGAAAATAAGACACAATATCTGCCACCACCTCCACAGTCGGTTACGGAATGTGACTTTGCGTGTAAACTAAGACAGTAGCCATGTTACCACATGCAGTATACCGCAGATGTTAGTAACACGTATCTGCGTGTGTACCACGTGATGGTCACACACATGTGCTCTAGTCAGTTTTACCCTCTGTGTCACGGAGCTGCCAGCGGAGCCTTTCTTCTCATGGCAGTGTGTCCCTTCTAAGCGAGCCAGGGTCCCTGCAGTGGTCACACGGCAGGCCTGCACGTCCTCCCTGACCGGAGGCCCCGTTCCCTGGAGCCAGAGCTCAGCAGTGAGGAAGGTGCCCGAGGGCCACAGGGACATGGCGGTGCCCAGAGTGGGTGGGCAGGCACAGGTGGCTCCAGGCCCGTCGGCGACCAGGGCCCTGCTGCCAGCACGTGGTGTCCACTGCTTCCTTGACATGAGCCATAGACCTCTCCTGCATCATGCTTTTTGGGGCCTGCATCGAAGGCGTGATCTTGCGAGATAAGTATGTTGGTTTTTATGTGCAATTTCTAGAAACTTCTGGGGACAGAGTCGGTTTTCTTTAGCTGTGAAATGGAGATCACTCAGGACTTCACACTGCTTGTGTAGAGCAGTGGGCCCCCATGGTCCCTTTGTTGAGATTCTGTTTGGTCTGATGCCTCCATCCTGCTCCTGCTGAGAGACCACAGTCACCTCAGACCTGACAGAACTGGGGGTGCAGGGGATCCTGGGAGAGGCATGGGGAACCCCACTGGCCCTACCACCACTCAGTGGAAGAGCAGCCAGTGCCCCAAGCTGTTGCCCACCAACCTGCTTTCTGGTATCTGCGTGTCCATCCGCCCCTCGGGTGTGAGGGCTGCAGGTCCCTGATAGTGAGGCCGTACCACTGTCTGTCACTTGCAAGAGTGACAGTGGCCTCATGGACCCTGGATGGGCCGGCCATGGCTTCCTGGGGGGCCCTCGGGGAGCAGGGCCCGTGCATTTACTTGGGGGGAGTGCCGTTTTGCCCACTCAGCAGCTGGGAAAATGTTTAATCTTCAGCTCATGTTTTCAACATGCACCCCGTCCACCCCTCCCACAGGTTCGGGGAAGCCCTGCAGGGGAACCTGGTCATTGGCATGCTGGCCTGGCCCTCGCCCTGGGTCATCGTCATCGGCTCCTTCTTCTCCACCTGCGGCGCCGGCCTGCAGAGCCTGACAGGGGCACCGCGCCTGCTGCAGGCCATCGCCCGAGACGGCATCATCCCCTTCCTCCAGGTGAGCGGCTGCCCGCAGGTTGGGGGCTCCCTTCCGAGAGCAGGACCCTTGGGAAGGAGCATGTCTGGAGGTTCCTGTGCCTGAGGTTCTGCCCCAGAGCACAGCCTTTACGGTTAAAGGTGGTGGGAAGGGCCCCTGTCCCCACCTCCAGCTGGCAGCCCCCTCCCCAGATGGTCACTGGGCTGAGGGCACGGGTGCTGGGAACAGAGGCAGCCCC